CGCTCGATATTCAACGATTTCTTAAAAAAGAGTAAAATCAGCATCGTCCTGTTTGCTTTAGCAAGCAATTAACAAGCTAATTTTGCATAAAATCTGCAGTTTTCATGGATTTTGGTCCTAAATTTAGCGAATGAAAATGCCTACATTAAAAAACGAAAAGTGCTTGTTTTCTCGCCTTTTTGAGAGCTTTCGATAGATACCTAAATCGTCACAATCCGACATGACTGCGGTTTTGACTCGATTTTTTGGGACACCCTGTATTAGACCTCCTGAACCCCCCCCATTTACCCCTAAGGACCCCCTATTGACCCCCATCGCAACACTCCACCAAAACCCCCTAACAGACACCCATGCAACCCCAATGGACTTCCACTCGAACCCCCATTCCAACCCCCAAAGACCCCCATTGGGCAAAATTTGCTATTTTAAGTTAATGTTTTTAAGGTTTAAAATCGTTTCAGCCTTTTTCAACTTTTTTTTCAACACCCTGAAAACCCCTCATTCGAACACCCCGCCCAACCCCCAACCTACCTCTCTCGCAACTTCTATGACTTCATCCAACCCCCACAAGTATGGGGGGCAAATGGGGTTCCGGGAGGTCTACCCTGTATAATGTAAACTAAGAAAGGTATAGCAAAAACCTTCCGGCTGGCATGGGGGAGGGGGCAAAGTAAACCGTAGCCGATGATTTCGATTTCAGATTCAATTCCGCGATGTTTTTCTGGAGATTACGGACAGACATCTCTGGAGAATCTGCATCGCCAATTGCGCGCAAGATATTGAGATTTACAGACTATCAGACCGAGACGGAATATCATGTTTATGGGTAAGTTTTGTGGTCGAGATTGTGATTTGTGGTCGGAAAGTCTGGCTAGAATTATAGTCGATAGTTCGATGTTATAGAAAGGATTGTAGCGGGTCAGTGGAACCGTTTCCAGAAGTGGGTCATAGAATGCCGAATGCGCAGAAAATGGCGAAAAGCGTTAGAGCGTGTTTTCTTTGCATAAATCCCTTTAAAGGGGATAAGGATGACTCGTGACCTTTTGCAAAACTTGAGCGATTTATTAAACGACCAAAAAGTTTAAAATTTTTTTGAGGAGATAAGGATGGCCGTGTAGATCAGGGCTGATCTAGAAATGGCAAATAACCAAGCGGTTAGAGACGGGCAGTCCCGTACCAGGGGGGCACTGGGGCACGGCGGCCTGCACTTCTAGTTCTCAAATTTTTTTCGCCTGCGCCGCTGATTTGGGCCCGAAAAACCTTGGTTGCCCCTCCAGAAAATTTGGGTCCCCCCCCCCGCCCCCGAAATCTTGGCTCCCGTACGGTCCTGGAGACGGGTGAGAGAGGGCGCTCACGGAGAGGAAGCAGAACCTCCCTTTCCCCCGCGTCACCGGTTTTATGCTGATCCAAATGGGCTCTCGTATCCCTTCAAAGAACCGGTTTCTACGGCTGCCAAGCGGCTATCATCCGGCGAAAATCCGGCAGCCGGGTTTCCGCAGGGACATCCCGGGTTTTCACAAATAGCTTTTTCCGGGTTTCTGTCTGCATCCTGCCGGTTAGACAGGCCTTGACAACGGGCCGGGCTTCAAGGCCCGGGCCCAAACTTGGCGGGCCGGACCCCCAAAAATGAATAAAACCAGCTTTAAAGGGATAGGGGCGGCATAAGTGAATCGATTACGCGCGGGAAAGAAAATGTCTCTGCGCCTCTCCCCTGGGCGCCCTCTCTCGCCGCTGCATCTGTTGAACCCCCCTCCCCCAAGGCGGGTTCAACAGATGCTCATCTCTTTAACCTTGTAAACTTGTATTTTATCGGGATTCTGAAAACGTCATTGGAAAGAGGATTCTCAAAACCATTCGAGATTTCAGCGCAAAGTGGCGGAACTACAAGAGACGCTCCCAATTCGGGATCCGGATGCATTTTTGAAAGGATTCGTCGACCATTTGACAGCCGCTGCTTCCCCTTCCGCCCAATCATTTTCCATCGATTTTGTTGATTTGGTAAGCGAAATCGGGAAACTTCGGGATCGACCCTGGCCCCGTCTAGGACCTACGAAAGTATTGACTTTGCATTATTACCGAAAAACCGATCACCAAAAAATGAAAAGCGCGCCCTCTCTTCCTTTTTATGAGCCATTTCCACTTCCGGCGTATGCTAATTGCTTCCTAACAAAGAAGTTTATGGCTGGAAAATTTCACAAATATCTAATTTTAATATCGAAAATAGCAATTTTTCAAAACTTTTATGTGTGTGCAGTCGATTCGGGACCCTTCTTTACCTATTCACGCTTCTCCCCTATCGAAAAAATGCTTCTCTGTGGTTGTAGGTGCGGAACATCCAAACGGAAGTGTATGCAAATAGACACACACACACAAACACTATTTTTTATATATAGTAGGATTGGCCGTTAAAGTCAGGTGATCCACGGTCATTTCCTAGAAATTCGTGTCCGCGAAAGTCATTTCGGCCAAGCTTAGCTTCTTGTTCCCCCGAAATCAGCCGTCTACGTAGGCAACGTATTCCACGTCATTAGGTGCGTAATGGCCCCGAGATGCCTGCACGGTTCTCAGATTTTGCAAATAACAGTATTTTAGGCGTTAACATTTAGTTTTGGAATAGGATAGGAATCACATTTAAAGGGCTAGTTCAACTTTTAGAGTTTGGGCTGGTACCTTGGGGAAACTATGGACGCAGAATAGCGCGCATGGACAGTCCCCATTACGACAAAGTTATTAGATAGCGGGGAAATGAGAGAGGCGCAGACACAAAAACGCAGAGAGGGTTCGACTCCTGGCAGCGGAAATTTTTTTGTTTTATTGGCTGAACTAGCCCTTTAACATAGGCCGGAAGTAACGCGAGCCTAGATATTGGGACGGAAGGAGTGATTTTCATTTTTTTGTTATCGAACCGAGAGAATTATTCAAAGTGACGAATACCATGGGTTAGAGGGGGACCAGGGTTGAAACGTCGCGAAGCGGCTTTTCAACCTTGGTAAAAAATTATTTTGGAAAAACAGATAGCACAGGGCGGGGCACCGAGGGCGCCGTACCCCCGGTGCCTCGCCCTCTCATATGGGCCTGGTAGTGATGACTTGGGATACTTCGGAGTTAGCCTCTTTAGTCGACGGTCTCATCGTTGAATCGATATGGCGGATCAAGAGCAGAAGCAGATGTCTTTTCCAGTGGCAATGTCAGTTGTTTCACCAATTCTAATTCAGCGCTCACTGAAATTGTATCTTTAGAAATAATTAAAACATTGGCCCTATTAGAAATTGGGCCCTTAGAGAAGAGTTTATTCCCCTGATAATGCAAAAGACCACAGAAACTTTCAAATTTTGATGAGAAACACCAAAAATGGCGGATTTTCGCCCTAGATCCCAATTTTGTGAATCACTTCTCGTTTTCCGGGGGGTTTTTGCAGTCGAAATATCGGTGATTTCTATTAAAAAAATATCAAAATAGAAACTATTAAAATATTAGCATTAGATCACTAGGCATTTCTGAACTCATGGGAGCAGTACTTGCTCACTTCTCCCTGAAAATAGAAAAGAACTACAGGGGGGGGGGGCAGAAAAAGTGCCTGGTTTGCACTGAAATATCTCGCTAAGGGAAACGAATTGGGCCATCCTTACCTTCTCAGATTGCTGAAATCAGCCGGGTATCAAGAATAAACACAAGTTACTTTTTACGATTTTTTGACGACTCGAATTTTTGAATATTTTTGAAAGAGTGTCCGTAGACTCTTGTTTACGGGCTTGTTTAAGCGTTGTTTCATAGGGTGTCCAAAACGAACCATCTGGATGCTTTGCCGTTATATCTGATTATCCTGGGTTTGACTAAAGGTGGGACAGACTCTAAATAACAACAATCCTGACTTACAGCCCCGTAACTACACTAGTCCTCGAGTTATAAAGAAAATACTGTTTTTCCCGGAATTCTGTAAAGTTTTTTCGGCTATCTTTTAGACTTTGCATCGATTTGCATCGACTTCCGCTGGCGAATCCCTAATTTGCTTAAGAACTTGCGTAATTTTTGCGTTGTAACCGCCTTAAACCGGAAGCTTATTTAATTAATTTTACTCTGGAAAAAATTCCTTAAGGCAAAGAAGGCCTGCCGGACCATTTTCACTTAATGTTTCGGGGGTCTAATTCCACGAAAACCCTATGAAAAATGGAAAATAAAGTTTGTTTTTTCCATAACTCGAGGACTACTGTAGCTACGGGGCTGTAAGTCCGGATTGTTGTTATTTAGGGTCTGATACACCTCTCGTCCAAATTTGGGACCGATAGATGTAACACGACGGCAAAATGCCAGATGGTTCGTTTTTTTTTTGGACACCCTGTATATCCTTCACCGCTCAATCGATAGTCCATTGCCAGTGCTTCATTTTGCTACCCATAAAGTCGCTCTAACTACTGAGAAGTACCTTACCTATCGCTTCAAAGTTATCTACGTTTTCAAAACGGTTCAAAAATTCGCGTGGGGGTCGTCAGAAATCGTAAAAAGTAACTTGTGTTTATCCTTGAGACCCAGCATATTTAAAAGACCATCCGCCGGTATTGCATGTATTAGAAAAATGATCCTCATCCCAAATGATTCCTAGTCACGAAATTTCAGCCCATTCGGTCCGGTAGTTTTCGAGATAATTTTTTTTGTTGTTTTTGTTATTTTTTTTAGGTTTGCAACTTTAGAGCCAAACTTAACTAGGAAAATAAACTTTTGAAAATCTCAAATTAGTGCCACCCTACTAATTCGACCATGCTCTTACAGATGACATCAAAAAAATAGGGTCGAAGAAACTGTACCAAGCCATATTGGGGACAGGTCGGGTGAGCTGCGGACGGTACTTGGGATGGGGACTTCAGACATGGTAACCATGGTGGTCTAATTCGTTTCCGTTCGCGAGATATTTTGACCCAAACCAGGCACTTTTTTTCTGCCTCCCTCCCTGTATTACCTGACAGATAACCCGGATAATCCGTTCTATGGTTGCCATCGGTGATATGCATATATGGGGGGCTGATAAGCATTCGCATCTCCAAAGAATCCAGGCAAATATCCGATGTGCTGTCGATCGTTTGAGCATCCGCTCGGTATGTCAATTTCCATTCCCGGTATACAAATTCAGTTTGATGGTCTGAGTGAAGTATTGCGTTGTCGAAGATGCCGCATGGTATGTCTTTATACGATCTTGAGAATCCATGAGAATTTGTCGCTTTTTCGAATCATTGCTATTGCTTGTCCTAAAAATCGAATTCACCCAAAACCCGCCCCTTTTCACGGATGATCTAAATTTTTTGCATTTTTGGCCAGCTTTTGCCAGATGTATCGTTCAGAAAAGTTGCACTGAGTTATCTCGCCAATGGAAACGAATTTGTTCGAAAGTTCGTAAGGGGGGCGCGTATGATTTTTACGTGAAAATCCTCTGCCTGCGGCGCGCCAAAGGGCTCGAACCCTGGTCCACCGCCCCCTGCTGTGATTCCTGGCAAATAGCCAGATGCGGCCGCAACGCGAACGCGTCGCATCATCTTTTGCCCCATTTTTCGATGCGAAAACGCTTGAATTTAAAAATTCTGATACTATTTTTGGTATACTCAACGAATTTTGATCATTCCAGACTTTTAAATTATGAAAATTGACCAGAGAATCGCCGAGATCGAAAGATTGGGTGCCTTACAACGCATTACGACATGTAATCGCCGCGCACTCAATATGTCGTTTTCGCCCCAAAAAGAATTCGGTTTTGCTCAAACATTTTACGTTTTTTTCGCAATCAACTCACTTTTTAGCACTTCTCGGCAGTGACCCTTTCGTTTTTTGACCCGTAGGTTCTATCCCAGCACGCACGAATTTTGACTTCTGAGCCCCATTAAGACTATTTTTATTGCCAGGAATCTCAGTTTTTCAAAATTTTTTAGAAATGCTTGCGAAGAATTCTTTTGGGAGTTACCCCCCTCCCCCCGAACGAAAACGAACGAAATTGCTTCCGTAGGGGTTTTCGACCACGCTGAACAAGCTGGAAATGTTTTCGAAATCTGAAAATCCCGTTGAAAAAGTTAATTTTTGGACTCTTTTATCTGCTCGACAAAATGTTATCGAAAAAGCGACCCAAATATATTACCCTTCTGCCAATACTGTGTGTAAAATTCAGTAAGAACCACCAGAGCCCTGCGAAGTTATAGCCTAAAAACAGAAAGATGATTAGAATTTTGGCGAGTACTGTATCGGTGCAAACTTGGCTTTTTCTGACCCACCCTGTACTTCCACCTGAATTAGAAAAGTCCGGACTATCCCCACGATATTGTTAAAGATCGGCAAATTGTTATGACTTGATTGCCGAGTGATTCTATAGAATTATCATCGTCATTTGTAGGAATCGGAAAGAGCCATCGGATGGAAATGTAAAAATTGTACATCAATGTGGAATTTGGAATGGATGAATGGGATAATTGGAAGTGCTGGTCGACAAAACAATGAAATTTCCCTGGCCACTCGTCAACGAGACCATCCCACAATATTCAAGATGATTGAGGTCAGTTCATTTTATGACTATCCATTTACCGGAACGGTTCTTTCGCATTATCGGGGCGGGGGGCACTTTTTAATATAAGGCCAGAAATCTCTAGTAATGTCAAAGTAAGCACTTTCAAAGTGTTTTTAGCAACTGGCCAGAAATTTTTTTGGGAATTATACGCGTTTCAGCTTGCATTCTGTCCTTCACGAGTTCAGAAAAGAGGAATGTTATACTGCATCAGATTACTCAAACCACTGACTGGCGAGGTTCATCAACAATATCCTGTCATCGGGGGCCATTTTCTGGTGAGTATCTATGTTTTTGGAGGGAAGATGTCTATAGAAAACAGGGTACTGGACTGTTAGCGGGCGAGGAGAAACTACCGGGTTTCCGAAAAATACCCGGACAAAACGTTTTTTAAAGGGGCTACGAAATGCCAAAAGTTGAGTGACGGCCCGAACGTCAGAGCCCTGTACGTCGAAGGCCTCTGTACGCACGGGGCGTACGCCCAGGTGTAGTCGTAATTTCGATGAGTCGTAATTTCGATGGGATGCAATTCGATCAGATGTAATTCGATGGGATGATAGCAAATCCTCTGTACGCCCAGGGGCCGGGGAGCTCGCAAAATTTGAAATGTCCCGCAGCGCCCGCTGGCAATTTGCCAGAAATCAAAGAGCCCTCCCAAAAGGGCTTTGATTTGGCAGTTCGGAGCCCCTTTAAGGGAGGAGTTTTACGGAAAGGGACCGACTTCACCGGCCCGCCGGTGAAGTCGGTGATTGTTGGGTTTCGGTTGTTGGGTTTGAAGTCGGTGAGCCTTTTCCTTTACTCAATCTTTCCTAGTTGCTCCGATATTCCCCGATTTCATTTTAATTGCAACCGCTGTTGATTGCTTTATTGTTGGAGAGGCACAAACAATGCAAACGCTTGGCCCCCATTTTTAGTACTATACATACACTAGAGTGGCGCTTATTCAAATGAGATTTGAATAAGATTCAAATTGTTCAAATCACGCCGATTGATTGAGAATTGGAGCCGAGCAAATCAAATCAAATCGATTTGATTTGAGTTCCATCAGTTCAAATCAAATCCAGCCGATTTGAATAATTTGAATAAGACCTCATAGAAATGAATCCAACGCAACTCGTAATTCGTGCACCGCGCTTTCCCTATAATCTCTTAGCATTGTTCAGCGTCCCAGTTAACGAATCCTTATACATTTCCTATTGTTTTTACCCGTTAACTTTTCCAAAGAAAAACCATGGCGCAGGCTAAATCTGACAAAAAAACCGTCTGGCTCAATTTTATATAAATGTCATCAAAACTCCCCATGAATTATTGTAAAGGACACCTAAATGTGCAGAAACGGCGCTATCAAAAGCCCTCCGAACCGCCGATTTTCAATTTGCATCCCTGATAAGCCTGTTGTTCAAATCCCAAATCAAATCGATTTGATTTGAAGTTGATTTTTTCGCACTCAAATTTGCTAATTCAAATCAAATCAATTTGAAGCCGATTTGATTTGAATAAGCGCCACTCTAACACACACTGAAGCCTGCCTTTCATAGCCCTAAAAGCCTAAGCGCAAACCCAAATCTACTGGGTTGGTATTTGTCCCAAATGAAGCCTCTTTTTACTAGTCAGAAGCAAAACGCACCGAGGGGAAAGGCTAAAAAGTACAATAGGGACACATTTAGGTGGTGAAATTAGAACACCAGTGAGATTTTATCAAATAAACATAATTCATATTGTTCATATTTTGATGAAATTGAATATCTAAAACTGAATAATATGTCACCATGGTGATGTATATTTTGTTATACATTCAGGGTGTCCCAATAAAAAACACCCCCCGCTAACTCGACTCAGAAGTATCGGATCGGAATGATAGTTGCACCATTCGAAAGCCCTTGTAACGGCGAGTTTGCAGCAATTTTCAAAGCCTTGTTTTTATTGAAACGCGCCATTTTACAGCGCATTTAGAAACATTAAAGAACGGCCTCTGAATCTAATTAACGGCTACTTCCGGTCAATTTGTATGGAGAATTTGAGGTAAATTGGCTCGTATCCTACTATATATAAAAAAATAATGTTTGTGTGTGTGCCCCCTTGCATGCAACTTCCGTCACCATGTCCGGAGGATATCTCGATAGGGGATGAATTTTATGGCACGTAAGATACGTCATTAGGTGCGTAATGGCTCTGGGATGACTGCACGCTTATCAGATTTGACAAAAAAAGCTATTTTCGACATTAAATTTAAGTTTTTATGAAAATTCGGTTCTCCCTATTTGTTAGGAAACAATTTGCATGCGCCGGAAGTGGCAAAAGCCTATATAGAGGGACAGAAGGGGATGTTTTTCATTTTCGGGATGGTATTGGTGAACACATATTCAAAGTGCAGAATATCATCGGATCAGACGGGGCCAGGGTTGAAAAGTCGCGAAGCGGCTTTTCAACCCTGGTGCAACCCTAAAAAACGGGAAAATCTTACAAAAGGTCTTGTAAAATGGCGGGTTTCAATAAAAACATGGTTTTGAAGATTTTTGCAAACTGGCCGTTTCAAGGGCTTTTGAATGGTGTAACTATCATTCCGGTACGATGCTTTCCCGTCGAGTTAGAGGGGGGCGTTTTTTTTATTGGGACACCCTGTAGAGGCGTACGGGGATACTTGGATACATTTGCTTTCCCCTTGCTAACCTCCCCAGCTAAGAGTCCAGTACCGAAAACAATGTGATTATTACAGATTTTATAGAAAGAGTTGCAACGGAGAGTTGAGAATGTTTACAATGGAATATTCGCCTTACTCGATGGGCATGATGCTGAATGTCTATGGTTGAGAACCAACGTCGAAGACTCGGTAACCTATGAAAAAGGGTCTTTGCAAATTTGGGCATGGCAAATGGACCCAACAGACCGTTAAGATTCGATTAAAAATAGCAAAATACCGACAAATGGCGGAGGCTTTCGGCTGGCCGAGTCAGTGAGTTTTGCATCAAAATCCTAGAAATACGGGGTGTTCTATTATGTTGAACCAAAAGTAACTGTAATTTTTTTGATTGTAAAAATTTTATGGAAGCCACCATTCGTGGAGGAACTACAAATATTGACCCGAAAGTCAATTACAGTCACTTTCGGTTCAACCTAATACAAACGCAGCGCCCCCCTCGAAACGCAATTTAAATCGGCCGTTAAAATTCGAAATTTAATGTTTTTTGAATTTTTAAAAGCTTATTGTGTGCAAAAAGTGTCGCCGGTTCCGATGGTGTATTCAGTTTTGCAATCCGATGCTTCCATCTGTTTTAAATTCGGGAAAAGACCCCAAAAGAGTATGGGGGGAAGTACCTCGAACCAAATGGGGACAGCGGTCTTCTTATTTTTAAATATATTTAACAAAATTCCGTTTGACATCGAAATCATCAAAATCGGACCACGTTTCGAAATGTAAGGACTAGAATAGAACGCGAATATTGGGCTAGAATATTTGAGGACAAGACACAATTTTCAGTTAAGACGTAATGCTGGATTCTGGATGTTCTTCCGCCTGACGGTCCCGAATAAAGGTATTGCTGGCATTATTGGTTCTTTCGCATTATCGGGGGGGGGGCAAAATTGTTTTAGGAGCAAATTTTTCAAATAGCGAATAGCGGAAGTGTTTTATACTGTTTTTACTATTGCTAAACGTAAAAACCGTACAAACTTTTATTAAAAAAACACAAAATAAAAAATTTTCGATCATGAATGGCCTTTTCACTAAAATGTTTGAAATTTTTTAGATGGTTTTCTGGTTGAAATAAAGCCTGAACTTCATAAAAAAAACTAATAAAATCTTCCCTATTGATGTGCTGGGCATTGCGACGCTGATACAACCCCCCCGTTAATGCGAAAGAACCGCATTCTTGAATGGAAACCATAATTTCTTGCAGATTTCATGGGATGTTTGGTGCTGGAACCGCGATTCCCCGACTATATGTGGCTTATCGATCGATAATCATTCCACGAGGCTTTTTTAGTAATATTGTGATTGCTATGATGAATTAATGGAGACATTTATCACCCGACAAAATATCACCTTTTTATCGATTACAGGAAGAAGCATACACAGGGTGACCATTAATTGCCTGTGCGCCGCTTTTACCCCAAAACTGGGCTCCAAATTTTATTTGATAGAGCTTTTTTACTATACAGGGCGTCCCAAAAAAAGACCCCCTCTAGCGGTCGGCAGTGTTGTCCGATTTGGACGATTTGGGTATGTATCGAAAGCTCTCGACGAGCCGAGAAGATATGTTCTTGCAGATTTTCGAAATTCCCGATATTTTACCCCGCTTTTCACCGTTTTTTTGGGCATAAATTCCGCAATTTTGCGCAAAAACTCAATTTAAACGGTTTCAGTCGCATCCAAGCTGTGTTTTCTCCAATGCCTTTCAAAAGGCCGACCTTGGGCGGCCAAAAAAGATGTAAAAATTTGGAAAATGGGGTTTTTTAAAAAAAAAAAACACTTGCATGGGAAAAGCATCGAAAATTCAGCCAATTTCGCAAAAATGTTAAAGGGCTGCCGACGGCATGTGTCGATCCCCCCCCATCAACAAATTGGCAAGTAGCCAACAAGGCAGAGAGCGCGCCCAGGGGAGAGGCGCAGAGACATTTTCTTTCCAGCGCGTAATCGATTGACTATGCCGTCGGCATCCCTTTAACAAATGTTATAAAGATTTGGGAATTTCGAAAATCGGAAAGAACATATCTCCTCAGCTCGTCGAGAGTTTTCGATAGAGGTACACATAGCATAACGGGGGGGGGGGAATAAAATAACGGGGGGGCACTCATTATCATGAAATTTGCAATTACTGTAGGATTTTGCGGGTGCCATTCGATAGAGCGTCGCAAAATATCCTAAGAGAATTAATTTGAGCCCAAAATAATGTAATGAAAATTTTTTATTGAATAAACAAATATTGAGGAAAATCTATGGGCAGCACATAGGATAACGGGGGGGGGAGTCAAATTTTCGAAATTTTCGGTATTTTGAAAACGTCATTCGATAAAGCGTCGAAAACTGCCCTAGGAGAAATTTCAGCTCGAAATAATGTAAATGAAATTTTTTATCGAATAAACAAAAATTGATCAAAATCCATGGGCAGCACATAGGATAACGGGGGGAAGCCAAATTTTGGAGATTTTCGATATTTTGAAAACGCGAATCAGATAGAACTCAAAAAATATACTAAGAGTTTTTTACAGCCCGAAAAAGCATATTTAAAAATACTTTTATCATATAAAAAGTTTGAGTGTTTGAGATTTAAGGAGCTCAGAGGTACCTTACCAAATAACGTGTCGCTATTGTGGCCCAAAACACCGCTAATAAAAATCGGCGAAATGATCGTCGGCAAAATGAAAATCGGCGAAATGAACCGAAATCGGACCCGGACCCGGGCCCGGACCCGCATAAATTTGCATGGGTCCGGGTGGGTCCGGGTGGGTCCGGGTAGGTCCGGGTCCGGAAATGCGGTAAGATACAAATATCACAGCATCGTCTTCTTCTTCACCGGATC